AGGTGCGGGTAGGGCGCATGGAAGGGGGGGGGCGACGACGGCTTTCTTTGCGGATGGGATGTGGGGGAGGGGGGCGGGGGGGAGTGCGACGACGGGAGCGGGGTGCGCCGACGGCGCTCCTTTGCGGACATGACGTGCGGAGGGGGGGGGGGGACGACGGACGGCGGCGCCGCGCACAGGACGACGCAAGGGGGGGGGGCGACGACGGACGGCGGTCGGGTGCGCCGACGGCGGCTTTTGCTTTTGCGCTCGTTACCGTTACGGGGAAGGGGGGGGGGGCGACCCCCGGTACAGTCGGACCTAGGCCAGAAGAACATCCTTCAAGAACATAAGACAGACGACCCTTTGTCGGCCAAAACAAACAGAACAATCAAGGGTGCCCTCCCAAGGATGCACAAAAACATCTAACACATACGAATCACATTAGGATACCCTGCCCGAACCGACCTCGATCTTATACCTCGGGCCGACTGCAACAGAAGTTACCGGTTCAAATAATAAAAATGATCTCCAAATCAGCCCAGAGTTTTCACGGAGGCCCAGCCGGAAGGCCTCCAGAGACCCCTCCGCGAGGCCTAGCGGGGCCCCCTGGATCCGAGAGCAGTGAAAAAAATTGGGGGCACCCTGGCCCAGGATCACCTCTCTGAGGCTGCCAGTGTTCCTGACCCAGTAGGTGACCGCCGAACGAAGTGAACCCCATCCCCCCTCAGAAATCGTGGGGGGGTGGGGGGAGGATGGGGTTCACAGGTGGTCACCGACCCAAAATGCCCCCAGCTTCTGGGGGGGGTTCGCCAGCGGGGCTCCCGGGCGAGGTCCCGCCTTAACGCGGAACCTCGCCCGGGAGCCCCGCCTCACGGTGGGACCTCGCCTTAAGGCGGGCCCTCGGCTTACAGCTGGAGACGCCGACCCTGGATTCAGGGTCGGCGGCACCAGCCGTAAGGCCTTCGCAAGATTGCCAACAACTGGGGGCACCCTGGCCCAGGATCGCTCCTCGGAGGTTGCGAACAGTGCTCCGGGCCCAGGGTGCCCCCAGCGCTTCGCGCGGGCCTGGAGCCCCTGGGGGGGCCCTCGAGCGTCGTGAGGGGTGCTCTGAAGGCCATCGAGGCATCCCTGGGAAAGCTGGGGTCAGACTGAGGCAGGGCCTCACCGCCGCCTGTCGCGGCCGAGGCCGCGGCAGGCGATCCTGGCAGGGCAGCGGGGCCAGCCTTCTCCGGGGGGCGCCGCCGGGGGGAGGGAGAGGAGGAGGAGGAGGAGGAGGAGGAGGAGGAGGAGGAGGAGGAGGAGGAGGAGGAGGTTGGGAGGAGGTTGGGAGGAGGTGGAGGAGGAGGAGGAGGAGGAGGAGGAGGAGGAGGTTGGGAGGAGGAGGAGGTTGGGAGGAGGAGGAGGAGGAGGTTGGGAGGAGGAGGTTGGGAGGAGGAGGAGGAGGAGGAGGAGGAGGAGGAGGTTGGGAGGAGGATGAGGAGGAGGTTGGGAAAGCTGGCAACGCCTTCACATCTGGCAACCCCCGGCAGGCGGAGGCCCGTCGCCCGAGGCCGGAGGGGCTTGAGCCACACGGGGGCTGCGGGAACGTGGGATTGCCGCAGGCGGACGGCTTATCACGCCGGACCTAGGCCAGAAAAACATCCTTCAGGAGCATGAAGCCTTCCGTTGGCCGAAATCGAAATAGAACAGCCGAGGGTGCCCTAACCAGGATGCACAAAAACATCCAACGAGCACGAAAAACCTCGGGGCACCCTCCTCGAACCGGCCTCGATCCTATACCTCGGGCCGACCGCATCACGTCGGAGCTTGTCTTGGGTACTGAGGGCAACGGATCCTCTGCCCTCGGGGGCTTTCTCGAGGACCAGCTTTTCTCTCCTCCCGGGCTCGTCTCCCCAGTCCTGGGGCCCGGCGGGAGGGCCCCGAGGGTCCGACCTCGACGGCAGACCTGAAGATTCCAGGGCCCGTGTGCTCGTGAGGATTGCCTGGGGGCATCGATAGAGGGGCCTGGCATGGCACAGGGGCGTAGGGGGGAATCGTGGACCTGGAATCGGCGATACATCCCCGATAGATCGGCGATAGGCCCTCGATAGTGAATCCCGATGTTCCTGCGCGGGGTTGGGCTGTCAGACCCATATCGCCGATGAATGGGCAATTGGAAGTCGATGCATTCCACCCTATGTTTATCCCCCTCTATCCTTGCCCCTGGATTGCTTCCAATTCCGAAACACCGAATCTCCAGGGGGGCACACCCGCGCGGGCGACCCAGCTTTGAACCACCGCCCTAGGGTGGTGCGCCGACGAGGCGACGTGGACCACTGGCGATCACCATCGAACGCAGGATGAGTGCAGTGGGCACAAGACGATCTGGAAGAATGGGCTTTAACATCAGGTTGCTTCCGCGCCTTCAACGCGCAGCAGCGGGATACCTGCGAGACTACTCGGGAAACCGCGTTTGCCGAAGTCTCCACTGCACACTCGCACTCGTAACGGGAGGAGAGGGGGCGTTTGGGTCGGGTTCCGAAGCGGCGTCGGGAGCGCGAGCCGAAGACGTGCAGAGGGTCGATGTGGGAGGAGCTGGACGGGGGAAGGTGCGGGGGAGGAGTGGCAAGAGAAGGGAGGACGGGGGAGCAGCAGGCGGGAGGGCCAGGAGGGGGAGAGGAAAATGAAGGGGGTAAGGGAAGAGAATGGACGCGAGGAAAAGTGGAGAACGAAAGAATGCGAGGATGAACGGAGAAAGGAGGGGATGATGAGGAGGAGGGCGGAGGTAGACCTTGACGCATGTAGAGTTGAATGGAGCTGGCTTGATTGCCTCTAGCTCGGTCTGCCCATGGTGTAGCATAATGTTCACACCCACTCGCGTTTGATGAATCTCTTACTTGCGGAGTCGGAGAAGTGCCTAAGCACCTTTGAACGAATTACGGCACCTCCAGTACTGAAGGAAAGTAGTGCTGCCCGCGAAACGAACAACGTAGAAGCCAAACGGTTAAACAGCCTTGGCTTCAGAGCTGATTATGCTGTAGCTCCGCCAAGCTCCTCCTAGCACCAATATCGGCCCAGGGCTCGAAGGAGCTGCATGCGCACCCTGGCACAATGTTTCCTATCAAGGATTTCTAGCTGATGATGAGGTTCCTCCCCACTACTGGAGGCGCCGAAGCTTGCAGCCCGTTCTTTTTATGGTGCTTCTACGTATAGGAGGCAGCTCTAGGAGGTAAACTGAAGTCCAGGACCACTTCGAAAGAGTGTGTCTGCAATGGGGATTCCGTATGACCATACTCGTCGTGCCTAGTAAGGCGCTTATCAGCGAAGATCCCTCCAACGGCGGAACTTCCCCTGTTCTGTAGCGGGGTTGGTCCGGCAGGGCCGTTGGGATCCTCTTGGATCCCTCTCTGAGCAACTGTACCTTGACGAGTTCTGAAAGGTCCACATCCTTGAGGACTTTCGAGATACCATGAGGCCGTCCGTGGTGCTCGCCAGAAGAATGGGAACACAGTCGTGACGACAACAGACAGCTGCACACCATAACAAGAACAGCCGCATCGACTGGTCTTGCGGGCGCTGCTCGTATTTTGATGTGTTTCCCCTCGTCGCCCTCCCGCCCACAGGCCACCCCACGCTCTCTGCCCAAGGTTGCTGCCCTTGGCAACCCTGCAAAATCGGCCAACTGCACCTCGGCGCAGTTCGTGTAGGCCGGGCCCACTGCTGCCGCCATGATCCTCAATGCCAGTGGACCTGCTTCAGCAGCTGCGCCGACGCCGAGGGTCCTGGGGTCTTCGGGCTCGAGGTTCTCGAAACGGTGTCCGCACCACCCACGCTGGAACAGGAGTTTGTCCACTGGTTCCAACCACTGGACCCCTTTGTTTAGAAGTTCCTCCACTCAAAATACCTTGCAACTATCGATTCCCCCCGTTACCCGTCGTACCGAAAACAAGACATCCCACCAACCCTTCAAGCTAAGGTGGTAGAGCGATCTGATGTATTTTGGCTGTACTTTCGGGTAGCTGCATCCGCTGGCAATAAGGACCCACCCTGCATCCGCGAAACTGCTGCACTTGTGTAAAACGAATGTGCGCGGCGCCCAGGCGAGGTACGCATTTTGAAGAAGACCCGCCCTCCATCCGCCAAGCTCCTGCAAACGTTTCAACGAATGTGCGCGGCACTCCAGCGAGACACGCAGTGTGAAACGGAACCACCCTCCACCCGTGAGGCTTCTTCAAACTTTTAAGACGAATGACCACGGCGCCAAGCGGAAACCCACAATTTGAACAGGACTCGCCCTCCACCCGTGCAACTCGCAAACTTGAAACCTCTTAGACGAATGCGCGCGGCGCTGAGGCGAGATCCAAAGTTTGAAAAGGAGCCGACATCTTTCGTACACAACTTGCAAACTCTTATTACGAATGTGCGCGTACCTCGGGCGAGAGGCACATGTTGGAAACCACCCGACCTCAATGCGTGAAACCCTTGCTAACTGTTGAGGCGAAGGTGCGCGCAACTACGACGATTGGCATAATTTGAAAATGACCCAGCCTGCATCCGCGAAGCTGCTGCAATTATTTAAAACGAATGTTCGCAGCGATTAGGCGAGAGCCGCATTCTTGCGCCGAACACTTGCGAATCTTTTTCGTCCATCAATCCGCACCGCTTGAAACGATCGTCAGCCTCTCAAACTATCAGAACAACGCTTTTTGTCGGAAACATCATAGCTTCTGCCCAGCTTCCTCAAGGCCACGGCGGGGTGGAGGACAAGGAACGCTGCCTACGCTTTGACCACTTGACATGCCCCTCACCTGGTCGTGGATTGATGCTCCATCGGGCATAATTTCCACAGTGTAAGGAGCATGCAATTAATCTGCTTGAATGGTGGAGCAAAACAAGGCAGCGGGATTCAGCTAAGCCGCAAACGGAGAGAAACATGCATGGTATACCAGCGCTTGCATAGGCTGGCGAGAAAGCGGATGAGCGAGAGGGCGCGCGAAGGAAACGGAGGAGGGGCACTCCCTGGTCGGGAAACATTACCATCACTGCTTATCAAAATTAAATGTGAACCCTACTGGAACGAGGGTCACCCTCAAACGATGGGCTTCCTTCATGAAGTCGAAAAGGAATGCTTGCCGAATCCCTTTGTGAGACACACCGATAGCAGGGAAGAATATGATCTGAATGCCGTACCCCGTCGAAATCGACTTCACTACGCACTTTTTGTAGCCTGTCTGGAGGACTTGGTTCGAATTCTCGATCCACTGCTTCCCAAATTTAACAAGCTCCTTCACCACAGAAACATCACAATTACTGTTAAGTGCCAGGTCAATGAGTACGGTCTTCGTGGGGCGGCGCGTCCAATTCTGGATAGTGGCCTGTTCCACGGTGGAATGCGGGATCCAAGTCTGCTTCATCTCGAAGTTCCGAATGACAAGGCCACCGATGGTGATGGCCTCAACAAAACCCGTTGTCGCCATGTTGCCGTTCACGCTGACGATGTCTCCCACAAAGTAGGGCCGGTATATAGCGATGCGGAGGATGCTCGCGGCCGCTGGACCGAACTGCAACGCGGCAATCGCCCCTGCCCCGAACGTGCTGAGGCCCAAGGTCGCGAGGATGGCGTGGCTCGTGGTCTCCATCTCCAGGAAATACGCCCCGACGCAGGCGATCGCAACAACCTTCGCGAAGAGGCTGTACAATGACCAAATCTCCGCTAGACATTTCATCGCTCCTCTCGGAGCAAACGTCGAGACAGGCTCCTCCGCATTGTCGGAATCGCTGTCAGATGTGTCCACCTTTGCATCTGGCAGCTGCCGCGGCGAGCAGCAATCTTGGCCGTCACCTTCAAAAGAGAAGAGCATGTCCTTCTCGGGCTGCCCTGTGCGGGTGACTCCCACAGCCTGCATAATCTCATACATCTTCTTTGCCGGCTTTGCCTGCATGATGGAAACCTCACTCCTTCCCATGCTCTCAAGCAGAGAGGTGAGACGATCGAGCACAGCAAACCAAATGTTGAGGCCAATCACCAGGATTAAGAAAAAGCTGTGGTCAAGCAGCCAAGACCCCTGTGGGCTGACCAAGCCCTTGAGCGCCTTACGGCACATGGACAACGCCAGGATGACAATCATTTTAAAGACTTCTGGGGGAGTGCCAATTGAGTTGTCGAAGAACGGGCTATTCGAAATCACCTGGTGAGCAGCCGCATAGAAAAAAGCTGCAGCGAGGGGGATCGACAAGAGCATGGACACCGAAGAAGACCTGGCCTCACTGCTATCCGTAATCAAACTTCCCAGGCCGCTGGGGGGTCCGTACATATGAAAGAGAGCGAGCAAGATCGGGTGCGAGATGAATGCCGCAATGAACAAGATCCAGGCGTTGCGCGCGAGTCTCACCTTCATCTTGTGCTGCCAATCTTTTCGGATAACCCCGCTCAGATCCTCATGAAGAGCCGCGTGCGGACCAATAAGCTGAAGATGCTCATCCTCCGACACAGTACCCCGGCCCATCCTCACGTCTGCGGGTTGGAGCTAGAGGACGAGGCTCTCTCGCTCTACGTCTAATCAAAATTGCTTGAGCCAAAATGACTGCAGCTGGACTCGATTGGACAGGACACGCGAGAGGACACAAGACCATTCTGAGGTCCACATTGACACAGGAATGTAGGAAGCATGGGTCGCGAGACACAGGACACAAGGGTAACCTTGATTGGGCAGGGTCGACCTACGTATCTGGGCCGACTGTATGGAAAAACTCTAGCAATATTTTGAAACGAATGTGCGCGGGGTGAAGGCGAAAGACATATTCTGAGATTCTGGACCCTGGGGTATCACTTCCAGATGCGGAACTGCTATAATTTCGCCGACAGGGGGGTGGGGGCAATCATGTTTATTTCCTACGCTTCTGCAAGTGCATGACCAGTCAGTGCAGTCTATGTTGACATGTGTCGACGACTCGCAGATCGCAGGGAGGACGATACGAAGTGAGAGGGGAGAGGGCCAGGAAGGGGTAGGAAGAGGAGCAGAAGAGAAGAGAAAGAAGGATGCGGGAGATGGGGGAGGGGCAGGCAGGAACGGAGGATGCATGTTAGGGCAGGAGTGAAGGGGCCCTGGAACACACAAAAAATACATACAAATAACAAGATCCCCCATATATTCACATATTTTCTGGGTTTTTGTCTTCCCCCCCACTTCCCATATTTTCCCATATTTTCATAGGAATCGACGACTAATTGTGTCTGTGTGTTTTTTCCCCTTCTGAGGGGCGGAAGGGAAAAGGGGGCACAGGGATCGTGGGATAGTCCCAGACATGCGGCGTCCTGATTTTTTGAGGACGGCGTCCCTGGAAGTCAAGACCCTTTCCCCAGGACCAGTTTTTCATCCTGAGTCGTTATTTGACGGTCCCGCGGCCCGGCGAGGGCCCCTAGGGATTGAAATTTGAGAGAAACCGTCAGTCCTGATTTTTGTTACGACGCGATCATGTCTGGGAACAGAACCAGGGGGAAGGACAGGGATGACCTGACAGACGCACTGAGCGTGAGAAGACCCGAACCCTCGAGCTTTCCCGCCTTCAACAGAGCCCGCCTGCTCGCGACGCTTCGCCATCCTCCCCCTGCTGCTGGGACAATGACGTCGACACGCCGAGGAGGACGAGGACCGAGAAGGATCGAGGGGGATCGAGGAGTCGCGAGGATCGGAGAAGGATCGAGGGGCATCGAGGGGGGGATAGAGGAGGATGGTCAAGGAATACCGAGGAGGAGGACCGAGGAGGATCGGGTCGGACAGAAGGATCGGGGAGGACAGAGGACGCTGAAGAATTCGATGGCAACTCATGGGAGCCTCCCATACCATCTTGTTGGCTCCTGCAAATGGACGCTATCTGGGGCTGATCGAAGCTAATCGACGCCAAGTTGACGCCATCTCATCGATTAGTTTCTAAACTCTAATAGACGCTACAAGGCTCTTAGGATGTGCTACCGAAGAAGACCGGCGGGAGCCTTCAGACGGGGGTCAGGCAGAGCGCCGGATCTTGAAGATCCGGATTTTAGACAAAAATTTAAATACCCCCATCCGGACCCGGGTCAATTAGGCCTTGCAGGATCCTGCACCCAAGCCCGGGTCAATGCAACCTGGCCCTGTAGGATCCTGCAAGATCCGGCGCTCTGGCTGACCCCCGTTTGCATTCACCTCCTTTTCCAAGCCGCCTCTCGGCTAGCCACCATCATCTCCGAACGACCCAATGCATGCCCACACCGCCTCCAAGAGGTATCCCGTGCCGTGAAGTCTGCATCTTGCCGTTGCGATGCCTGTTCGCGCTGGAGACTGGTTCGATTGACCAACGCATGCTTGGGGGAAAAAAGACGAGCCCCGAAGAGGAGGGCCGAGGGGCGTGCCGGCGGCGGCTGCGGGGGCAGCGCCTGCTCGGCGAAGCCCTCCGCCCCAGGGCCGCCCCGGGGCTCCGCGCGGAGCCGCAGGACCTGCGCCGTCGGCGGGGCAGCCCGCGAAGGGCGGAAGCGTCGTCCTCGCCGCCGCCGTCGTCCATGGATTGCGAAAAATTCGGGGATCGAATGCAGAATTGATTGATTGGCCCCGAAGCTGCTTCTTCGTCGAGTCAGCACAAGAATATCTATGGAGTGCTCATTAAGTAGATGATACCGGAGAAAAGCCCCAATCATAATCTTTTTAAGGCTTTAGGGCTATGGGGCTAAGGGGCTATAGGGCTAGAAGGCCATGGGGCTATAGGGCTACAGGGCTATTGGGCTAAAGGGTTATGGGGCTGTAGGGCTATAGGGCTATAGGGCTATAAGGCTATAGGGCTATTAGGGCTATTCGGGCTATAAGGCTACAGGGCTATTTGGCTATATAGAGCTACCGGGCACCTGGGCACCCGGGCACCTGGGCGCCCAAGCACCCGGGCACACGGGCACCCGGGCACCCGGGCACCCGGGCACCTGGGCACCCAAGCACCTGGGCACCCCCGGGCACCCGGGCGTGCGGCGAAAATCGGCGGCAAACCTAACCTGACCATATGAATCCGCTAGGACCCCTACAGAGGCAAGCTCTGATCGGGGAATCTCGGAGCATCCTCCGTATTCGTTCGTAGACTCGACGATGATTCCAATGTTTGGGACAATTGATTCTGTGGCCGCTCTCCTACTCGAGCCGTCGTCGTCGTCGTCCATGGATGAGGAACCCGTGGATCTGGCGCGTCTGGCGCGCGGGCGGGCCGAGTCTCCACGCATCGGGGAGGACCTGCCCCCGAAGCAGGAGGCCGATGCCGCCCGATCCAGCGGCGGTGCGCGCCGAGCCTGCACGGAAGCGGAACTGATCGCTGCTCCACGCGCCGCCGTGCATCGGCCTGCGCTTGCCCGACAGCGGTCGCTCCAGCGAAGGGCCACTCGTAGCCGACTTGGGGGACGCTGCTCTGTCCCTGGAAGCCTCTCGTGGGGACCTCCAGGGCTTCCGCCAGTTCTCCGCCTTCCGAGGCTACGGAGGAGGACGATCGAGAAGTAGGAGCCTGTTGTTATTATGATGACTACTATTACTATTTGTAGTATTAAAATTATCAGTGTTATAATATTATTAGTAATGATCTGATTCGTACTATTCTTACTCTTGCTATTATTACTACTATTATCAGTATGAACCTGCTAGATAACGAACATGATCGTGAGATTGGGGGAGGTCGTCCCCCGATCACTTCGCGGCTGGGGACCGCCTGAAATCTCAGGAAATCCTGGAAGAATCCCTGGGACATCTTTGCACATGTGGGCAAAGTAGGTGACGTGATCCTGGGGGGGCGCGAGGTGTTAGTTTCCAAGAAGCCTGAGCTGCAGCCTACAGCCTGAGCTTCAGCTCTGCCTGGGGGTGAGGGGCCGAGGGGGCACTGCTGGGGAAGGGGAGATAGGGTTAAGTCGGGCCTGTCCCCCTACAGGCCGATGTTGGACGAACGATGAAAATAGACACAGCGTACACTAAAATATTCAAAGATGGTCAACAAATCGTCCCAAGACTATTGCTTGACTGTCTTTGAATAGTCCTCCTGCAGAGTGACAGGCCCGAATCAAAGATAAAGGGGGTGGGTGCGCCTGGGCTCCGTCTTCTGGGCGGGGCTGGAACATGCACAGATCCGCCAAGGAAGGGACCCAGGGACGCACAAATGGATGCACACAAGTCCCAGGATCCCCATAGTTTTGCACATTTTCTGGATGTTCGTCTTCCCCACCACTTCCCATCGGGGATCTTCTGACCCGGGTCAATCCAGACCCGGGTCAGCGGGAAACCAAAAACTGCAGCGCAGGAAAAAAAACTGCAACGCAAGTCTTCGCAAACCCGGGTCAGCCAATACGCGCGGCCGCCTCGCGGCCACGAGCGGCTCGCTAACCCGGGTCAGCCAAAGGGGGTCTTTGCAGGATCCTACAGGATCTGGCGCTCTGGCTGACCCCCGTTTGCGCTGACCCCCGTCTCGAGGCTCCCGACTTCCCATACGTTCGCATATCTTCCGGGGAATCGACGATTGATTGTGTCTGTGTGTCTGTGTTCCCTCCTGAGCCAGTCCCCCCCGGGGACCAGAGAGCCCGAGACGACTGCCAGATATCTCCCAGACGGCTCAAGATGCACCCAGGATGGCCCAGGATGCCCTCCAAGAACGGCCCGAAGAAGCCCAAATCGTTGATTTCCTGAACGCTGTGGAAGGATTTGGACGCTCCAGTCTTTTCTGCCTTCCGAAGTCCCCAAAGGCCCCCAAGATCTCCCCAAAGGCCTCCAAAATGGCCCCGTGACGGCCCAAGAGGCTACTAAGACGGCCCCACAAGGGTCCCGAGACGGCCCCATAGGCCCCCAAGCCGGCCAAGATAGCATCCAAGACGGCCCTGAAGCGCCCCCAGATTGCTCCCAGACAGCACAGCGAGACGGCCAAGACGGCTTCCGACGGCAGGAACGCCCTCAGACAGCCAAAAAGGCTTCCAAGAAACCCCCGAGAGGCTCAACAGATCCCTCAAAAAGCCTCCTCCTACGACGGCCCCAAGAGGGCCCTAAAACAGCCCCATAGGCCTCCAAGCGAACCCGAGCGCGGGCTGGGAGTGGGTCGAGACCTGTGAGGGTCGGCGCTGCGAACAAAAATCACGGCGTCGGGGGTCTGGGATACTGCCGAGGCCCGACCACGAGAAACCTGCCACAAGAAACCCGACCCTGAGACCCCAGCACGCCCATCGGTCGTTGATGGGGGAGCGCCGTGCTCTACATGGCAAGACCCTCAAAACCCAAGAGACCAGGGGCACCATGGAGGCAGGCAGGGCGTTCCTTGGCATGGGCCCCCACTCCTCCTCCTCCTCCTCCTCCTCCTCCTCCTCCTCCTCCTCCTTCTCCTCCTCCTCCTTTGTTCCCAACCCTCCTTGGTTGGGTATTCGTTTTGAATAGAGCAGTGTGGTCTCCACTCCTTCCTTCCTTCTTCCTCCTCCCTCCCTGCCTCTTCCTGTCTTGCCTGCGGGGGGCTGCGATCTGTGAAACTGTCGCAATGTTCGAGGCCTGCTGGGGGGCCCAGCACAGTGAGGGTGACGCGCGGATTCAAACTAGACCTCGCCATCCCTGGGGGGCTGCGATCTGTGAAACTGTCGCCATTTTCGAAGCCTGCTGGGGGGCCCAGCACAGTGAGGGCGACGCGCGGATTCAAATTAGACCTCGCCGTCCCTGGGGGGCTGCGATCTGTGAAACTGTCGCCATTATCGAAGCCTGCTGGGGGGCCCGGCACAGTGAGGGCGACGCGCGGATTCAAATTAGACCTCGCCGTCCCTGGGGGGGGCTGCGATCTGTGAAGCTGTCGCAACGTTCGAAGCCTGCTGGGGGGCCCAGCACAGTGAGGGCGACGCGCGGATCCAAATTAGACCTCGCCATCCCTGGATGGCTGCGATTTGTGAAACTGTCGGCATTTTCGAGGCCTGCTGGGGGGCCCAGCACAGTGAGGGCGACGCGCGGATTCAAATTAGACCTCGCCATCCCTGGGGGGCTGCGATCCGTGAAACTGTCGCCACTTTCAAGGCCTGCTGGGGGGCCCAGCACAGTGAGGGCCCCGCGCAGATTCAAATTAGACCTCGCCATCCCTGGGGGGGCTGCGATCTGTGAACCTGTCGCCACTTTCGAGGCTTGCTGGGGGGCCCAGCACAGTGACGCCACGGGCGGGTTCAAATTAGACCTCGCCATCCCTGGGGGGCTGTGATCTGTGAAACTGTCGTCATTTTCGAGGCTTGCTGGGGGGCCCAGCACAGTGACGCCACTGGCGGATTCAAATTCGACCTCGCCATCCCTGGGGGGCTGCGATCTGTGAAACTGTCGCCACTTTCGAGGCCTGCTGGGGGGCCCAGCACAATGACGCCACGGGCAAATTCAAATTAGACCTCGCCATCACTGGGGGGGCTGCGATCTGTGAAACTGTCGCCACTTTCGAGGCCTGCTGGGGGCCCAGCACAATGACGCCACGGGCGGATTCAAATTAGACCTCGCCGTCCCTGGGGGGCTGCGATCTGTGAAGCTGTCGCAACTTTCGAAGCCTGCTGGGGGGCCCAGCACAGTGACGCCACGGGCGGGTTCAAATTAGACCTCGCCATCCTTGGGGGGGCTGCGATCTGTGAAACTGTCGCCACTTTCGAGGCCTGCTGGGGGGCCCAGCACAGTGAGGGCCCCGCGCAGATTCAAATTAGACCTCGCCACCCCTGGGGGGCTGATCTGTGAAACTGTCGTCATGTTCGAGGCTTGCTGGGGGGCCCAGCACAGTGACGCCACTGGCGGATTCAAATTCGACCTCGCCATCCCTGGGGGGCTGTGATCTGTGAAACTGTCGTCACTTTCGAGGCCTGCTGGAGGGCCCAGCACAATGACGCCACGGGCGGACCCAAATTAGACATCGCCATCCCTGGGGGGCTGCGATCCGTGAAACTGTCGCCACTTGCGAGGCCTGCTGGGGGGCCCAGCACAGTGAGGGCGACGCGCGGATTCAAATTAGACCTCGCCATCCCTGGGGGGCTGCGGTCTGAGATCCCCGCTTTCGAAGTGGTTAGGGTTGCTCAGGGGTTGTAACTGATCAGCTTTATCTAGTCCTTGTCCTGTAGCCAGTGTCCTGCGAGTCTCCCGAATTCCGTTTGCATACATTACATATGTAACCCTCGCTCCGTCATCGCCCCCCTTGTAAAGTGTTCTAAATTATTTGCGCCCCGCGTTTGCGCAGGGGTTGGGTACGTCGCCAGGGTAATCTTTTAAGGAGGGAGGAGGGAGGAGGGAGGAGGAGGAGGAGGAGGAGGAGGAGGAGGATGAGGAGGGGCGGGGCAGGGCGAGCTCGGCCCCCCGCGCGGCCCTCGAAGGCCGCGCACCAGAGCTCACCCCTGCCTGGGGGGGGCACCAGCGGGAGAGCGCCCACGGGGTCGGCGGCACTGGCCCGAGGCCACCACGACAGTTGTCAAGGGGCCCAAGCGGGGCTGGCTGGGCA